AAATTATCTCTTATAGACACAAGTTACCACTTACCATTAAGTGACGTCTGGACAAATAAAAAGGAACTTTTTTCTAGTGTCAAAAGCTTTTTCCAAAAAATTTCAAGTAAATAACTTTTTTTTCTACCAAAATAATGGCTTAATGATATTTTTCTATCTACAAACTTTTAAAATATACTTTATTACTTAAATTTATATTATATTTCTGATCTGGCATCGTTGCGATCCCATATTACCACTATTCTCTTTCTTAATCATTACTCACCAAAACTCTTTAAACTCTTTGCTCGCCGATCATGTCAATCGTCGACAATCGAACAATTAGAGTTTATACAGTCATCCCTCCTAAGTTAAATTCCGATCAATCTCAACCATCAAAATCCAACCTTCCACTACTAAAAGACTCATCAGTCTTCCCTCTTCATAAACTCCAATAGTTTAGACTGAGTTTACTCTCTGTTTGTCATCAGAATATAAATTTGGGTAATAAAGTGGTATTTTGAAAGCATATAGGTGGGAAAATGTCACTAAATCATTATTTGAGTGAGAAAAAGTCGTTAACCTCAAAATGTTCATGTCGTTTTGTTATAAATCAATAAGGTATATGCGTGATTAAATAAATTGTTTCAACATTATCCCTGATTAAACAAGTCGTGTTATACAAGAATACTAAAATCGACTTTTTTCTTGAGCTCTTTTAAAATTAATTATAGTTTTTAAAATGTTGAAATGTCAAAAATATTCTATGTTATTTAGATAAAAGAAGATCTACTAAAATAACCTTAATTTTAAAAATTATTTAAAAAATTCATACTTAATTATTCAATATATTTTAGGCGATAAAATTATAAAAAATGATAATTATTCTTACACCCTAATCAATACAACATCTTGGCACTTCTTATACTCAATTGAACAAATTGGTTTATTGCTTGGAATTGAAGTGAATTTTTAAGTGATTTTGCATTAAAAAAACACTTTTGAAAAAAAAAAAAAAAAAAAAAAACATTTTTTTTTCATAAGAATGATTATTTAAAAATATTTATCCTACAAAACATTTTAAGTGCTTTCCAGTTTCACATCAAGTATTTTATATAAAGTGTTTTAAATATTTTTTTTTTAATCTCCACACCTATTGTGTCTATCAAAGTCAAACATTAAAAAAACATATTTAATTTTTAAAAAATATTTTTTGACTATAACAATTGTTCATAACACATAGATAAACATTTAGGATTATAAAACCTCATGTATAAAGCATTGTTCTGAAACCCAACCCGACCGGTCCGACGGTGATCCAGCAAGTTTGAAATCCAATAAACACACCCCTGATATACACACACCAGTCTCTACAGGTTTGAAATCTAGTAAATACACCCAGTGATCTGACCGTAGAGTTAGAGTCTCGCTTTTCTAGGCCAAATTTTGACTGATTCCGACGGCCAAAATTCAATCGACACCATCACCTAAACCACCAGCCTCCACTCAACCAAATGTCTCTAACCCTAGTATAAAGCATAAATAATTTATCAAATTATGTGGTTTAGTTTATGATTAGAGAATACATTTTTTAATAGAGTTAAAAATATGGAAAACAAGTGGAAATGATTTTGTTTATCTTTCTCATGGTTTCAAATTTCACACTAAATTTTAAATATTTATATAATTTTTTTAAAGCATTTTATTTATATATATAAAATAATCTCGAGTGTGGACATCCTAAAATTTTTAATGCACAAATTAAAAATTAATGACTAATCTTTGGCTTTTATTTTTGCAATTTGTAAAGTCAATATTTTAGTTGTTGATCTTTGCTCTGTACGTTAAAAGTTTATGAGAGTTTGCACTAGAGAATGACTACTATATGAAAAGTCTCAAGTGCGTATGTTTTGTAATATTTAACGTACAGGCCAAAGACTAGTGACCGATCTACGTCTTTGATTTTTGTATATTTTTTTTAATGGAAATAATAAAGTCATCGAAGGTTGTGCACCAATTTTATGTATCGAATGATGTGACAAAATCCTGACTGTCTATTAATATTTAGTTAAAATTAATCAATGATCAGGGTTTTATCACGTCATTCAGTGCATGAATTTGGTACGTTACATCGGTGATGGTAGCATTACTTTTTTTTTAAACCAGCTAACAACCGCTAGCCTTTGAGTCCGCACCATGAAAACTTCATGACTTATGTTCTAAAGATTGGTAGTCACGTAATTTTTATGGCGTGGATTCATAAAATGCTAAAATTAAATCTAACTATTAGGTCACTAGCTTATTAGCTTATAATGTTTAAAATTGTATGACTCGTATCCATTGTTTTAAAACTCATACCAGAGGGCAACTCGTTTTGCTGTCTGGGACCAGTCTATTAGACCAGTGACATCAGTAATAATTTAATTTTTTAAAAATTACATATTAATCTCTTAAATACTAGTATATTACAAAAATATCCCTAAAAAATTTCAAATTAATCCCTAAATTTTTTATTTATTTCAAAAGTATCTCAAAAAATTTAATTGATCCCTAAACTTTTTATATATCTCCAAAACACCCATAAAATAACAATTAGTCCCTATAAATTTGGAATATTATAAATACCCCCTAAACCCTGAACCAGACCGGAGAAGCTGCTCGTATTTAAATTTTTTTAAATATAGAGTAATCCTTTGGTCAAGATGTTTTAATATTACCTATGTTTAACCACCGTTGGATTCTTATTTGTAAAATAGAGTGAATTTAATCAAAACGTTCTATCTGGATAATCAAACATATAGCTAATACTCATTCAAAAGAGTAATATTCAACTAATTTGACTACAAGCATAATAAAAGTATTTAAATGGGAATTGAAATACAATTAGCAGCCTCTGCCGAACTTGCCCGAATTCTTCTAGAAATCAAACCTAACAATTTACACTAGTTTCAAAGTGAGCACGGGGCAAAATGGGCTATTACGCTCTCACTTTCACAAATTCCAATTCTTAATTTTAATCATAAATTAAACAACTTTGAAAACTATCAAGAAAATGACCTCCCACATAAATTTAATCCCTAACAAGAGAAAGAAAATGACATTTGTGGCCCTACTTAATTGTGTTACAAAACCTACCTTTCTTTTTCTTAATAACCAATCATATTTCATATTATAAAGTAATAATAATAATAATTATTATGATGATTATAGTAATAATAAAACAATATTAATGATATTAATTAAAACCCACATGCCACATGGGTATTTTTTTTTGTAATAATATTTAGAAATTATTATTATTATTATTATTATTTTATAATTTAAAGCTATTTCTGTCTTAGTCATAGAAACATTCCAAAATTCACCTAAAACAAATAGAAGAGGTAAAATGTTGAAAAGTCTTTTCAAATTTGGACAATTATTTTAACTTTTCCATCAACTAATCAAAACCCTTTTGAACTTTCATAAATTATTTAAAAAAAAAAATTTTAAAACAAAAACCCTTTGCTGTTCATAAATTTTAAAAAATAAATTAAAACAATAAAATTTTGTGTTTATTTGAGTTAAATCTTCACAAAAGTTAGACCAAATTAAATGTTGAACTATAGTATTAAAGTCCCCTTTTTTATAAATACAACTTCAAAATTTTGACAAATTATGTTCATTTATAATATAAAACGTTGCATTTATAATTTTACGTAAGAATAACATTAGTTTATAATATTATTAATGTGATATCACCTTGTTATTATATATTTTTTCTTAACAGAGATTAAAGACATATATAATACCACTCCAATATTATAATCTTCCTCTCAACGAAGATTAACTATTGATGCTATTTAGATACTATCTTGATACCATATACTTTTCTCGTGTCAAAGGTTAATAGCGTTAGTCGACGCAAATATTTATCGGTATTATAACCAAATCATGCCAAAATTAATAAAAATCACAACCCCACCCCCATGAGATCTAGAATTAGTGTTCAAAGTAAATACCTCACCACTACTTGTCTACTGCCAAGTACAAGATCCCATTAAAATATTCTAATGGGCCTCTTTTAAGTTTTAAGTCCATGGAATGTGGACACAGTTAATTATTTAATAATAACTAATAAAATATGACTAATCTCCCCCTTTAACCTCAAGTAATTTCCAACCTCCCCTAACTTTTGGTATAGTTCTAAACACCCCCATCATCATGAAATTACTAATTTCCATCCTTTCAAGTAGAGGCGTTTTCCATCCGGTTTGGTTTGGTTTTCGTCGTATTTGAACTAGAATCAATAATTTGGAATTTGGTTTAGTTTTATATTTAAATCTTATTTATTTTATCAATCTTATATTATAAATGATTTAAAATTTCATTATTTATTTTGTCAAATTAATGTTAAAAATCATTTAAACATTCAACTATCTTATTAATACTATATGAAATCATTCATTATAAAATCATCTACATTTCTATCAATATACTTTTAATAAATAACACAATTCTATTTTTTAGGTTAAATAGTCAACCTAAATCAATCTATTGAAAGTATTATTCGACGTAATTTGGTTCGGTTTCTCCATATCCTAAAACTAAAACTATAATCTGTCTGTTATGATTTATTTAGGTAGAGTTTATGGAAAAAGAGTTTATTAAAGTAGAGCTTGTATGAGTAGAACTTTTGTGAAAATTTTGATAGTTGTTTGGTTAGGAAAAATGTAAAAGAGCTTTTTAGTATTAATTTACCAAAAAAGGGCTTTAATATATGAGTAAATAACTTATTTAAAATCTTATAAGTACTTTTAAAATTCAACTAAATAACTCAAAATTATTTCAAAAGTGCTTATAGCTTTAAATAAGTTCTTTTGGCCTGTAGATAAACCCAACCAGATAAGCTTCTAACTGGCCACTCTAGAGTTTATAGATAATCCTCAAACCATGGAGGGCCTATTTGATATGATACCAACTATAAGGGATGTTTCTGAACTTATCCCTCTTTGAGAAAAAAGGTTACAAAAGCACAGTTGTGTTCTTTCGTAGTCTACGTCTCTCTCTCTTACTTTAATGGCGACAACGGAACTCTTCAATTAGGAAAACAATCTGCAAAAAACAAAATAAATATTTTTATTTCCATTTTTAATTCAACATTTTTCTGCTCCCTTAATTGATTGAATTTATTTATAATCTCGAAGCGAAGCGCCACAATTTTCACATTCTCTCAACTACTTTCCAAGGTCAGTTGAACGCTCTCTTTTTCCGTTTGTTACTCGGGAAAATCAAGGATTTTCTCGAGAAAATTTTAAAAATTCGGTTTCAGCTGGAAGACGTAGTTTTTGTTTTGAAGCTGTGTGGATTAAGTGAATTAATTGATTGAAATGTTTAAGTGAGGATTTTTTTTGAATTTTGTTTGTGAAATTTTTGTGTTGAAGAGTGTTGGATCTGTTTGGAAATTGTTTGATTTTGCGTTGTTTTTGTTGCTAATTGCTGTGTTGATTGTAGCTTCTTTGATTATGAGCTGTGATCTTTTGAATTGAGGAAGATTTTGAAATTTGATGAAGGTATTAATCCTAATAGCTGGAAGATTTTATTTAGTGTGCTTTTAATGTATTGTGAAGAATTAGTGTCTACTATGGCTCTATGAGCTTCTTGGTTGCACTCGTTGATTTTGTCAATGGATTTAATTGTTTTTTTTTTTTTTTCTAAAAACAATAAATTTTGAGGTTATTTAGCACTGCCTAAAGCTCTTCTTGTTCAATTACATAAAAACTTCAGCTTTTTGAAGCTTTTGAATTAAGTGGTGGCTTAACATGGCTCCCCAGTGAGTTTGACCAAAAATCGTTTATGTTTTAATCATGCTACGATCAGACTTTTATGTATTTTGTCTTGATCCATGTAACAAGCCTGATGATAGAATCGAGGTTCGCATGTGGAGGGATTTATATGAGGTTAAAATTATTTTTGGGTTCTTGCTTATTTGATTTAAGTGTTTTAATTCAGTTGTCTTAACATTCAGTATGCAAGTCAGAAGGGATACCGTATGCGATCAACTTATGCTCCTTAATATCTATATAATAGATTTTGCAATTTGTTTCGTTTAATTGTACCCAATTTTTTTTTTTTTTTTTTTTTTCACAAAAAAACTGTTGATCTGATGTTTTCTTCAATTGTGTGTTTTAAGATAATCTCTTACTTCAGATATATGATTAGCTTTTTAACATTTGATTATAGTAGTTATTCGCATGAAGATTTGAGACGTGACTTCTGCTGACAAATTGGAAGCTATAAAACAAAAATGTCTTCCACAACCAAGGCTGACAAGAAGGCAACCTTAGATGCAGCCTCATGGATGTTCAATGTTGTCACATCTGTTGGAATTATCATTGTCAATAAAGCTTTGATGGCCACATATGGTTTCAGTTTTGGTACACTCCTGTTAATTATATGACTCGCAAACTTTTTTAATTTCTGCTCTTAAGTTGTTATTTTTTTTGGCAGACCAATAGCCTTTTAGAGAACCCCCTCGCATTTTATGTCAATTTCTGTCCTTCATTTTGCTGAATTGAAATGTTTTCTGCTCTTGCATTACTTATTGATGATTTGAATTTTTTTGTTTTTTTGTGTATTTCTATTATCTGATTTATATTAAGTCATTTGTGAATTTGTCTTCTTTATTGCCATGTTGAAAAAGAAAATACATGGAACTCTATACCCATTTTAACACTTCTTTACCTGAACTTTGGTTCTAGTTTAGCAAGTTAAGAATTGGACATGTTTTGTTAATTTGCTTCTTGTTCTTCAGGTCTTTAGTCTTGCTAGCTAGACCTTGATAGCTATAATTTTAGTCAAAATAAATAGAAAATTACTGAACAATAATGCTCATTTTACAAGTTAATAGTAACATTGGCCATGACAGTGCTTGCTGACACTACATGAGGCTTTACTAAAGCGTATGGGTTAAAGGATGCACTAATGGAGAATTCCATGGGAAGACTCCTAATCGTTTTTACATTTGTTTGTGAAATCAGTAAAGAGAATCAAATGATATCCATGAGGAAAAGTTTGTGATAAAGCTGAAAGATATGCATATTATTTTTTTAATTTAAAAGCACATGAGAATTATTTGTACTGTGTAATTTTTTCTTTAGGTGAAACTTGAAAATCTATTTAAAATTTACCTGATCATTTGTAATCTGCATAAACTCTGAAATTGTTTCCATATATTGATATTGTGCAGCAACGACATTAACTGGTCTGCATTTTGCCACAACTACCATTTTGACTGTTTTTCTTAGATGGTTGGGATATATCCAGCCCTCTCATCTGCCAGTACCTGAGCTTGTGAAATTTGTTATTTTTGCAAACTTCTCTATTGTGGGAATGAATGTGAGTTTAATGTGGAACTCGGTGGGTTTCTATCAGGTCAGTGACAGTGAGCAGCTAAACATTTTTGTTTTCTGTTTCCTAATTTTAGATTTTCGAAAGTTACAATGTTTGCTGATTTCAAAATTTATTATCAGATTGCAAAGTTGAGTATGATCCCAGTATCTTGTTTTCTGGAAGTTGTATTGGACAAGGTGCGATACTCAAGAGACACAAAGCTTAGCATAGTGTTAGTTCTTCTTGGTGTTGCAGTGTGTACTGTTACAGACGTGAGTGTTAACGCCAAAGGTTTTATAGCTGCTTTCATAGCTGTTTGGAGCACAGCCTTGCAGCAGTATGTAAGTAATCCTCTATTCAATAATCCTCTATTCAACCCCTTGTTCCTACATATAAATGGTACTAAGGTGGACTGGGTTTGGGATGTGATAATGTCAATTGACTTCTGGTATCTACATAGACACTTATATATATGCATCAGATATTAGTCTAGCTTCTAATTTTTGAATCCGGTACATCATCTTTTCCCCATGTGGAAGGAGTTATGACTTGTATTTTGGTTCTGAATGATTTTGGACATTGCTATTCCATTCTTGACCCAGATGTTGGTCTCTTATTTATTCCCTAGTTGGTGAAAGTAAGATATCATTTTAATCTTTTATGTTTGTGCAGTATGTACATTATCTTCAAAGGAAGTATTCTCTTGGATCTTTCAACCTTTTGGGGCATACAGCTCCTGCACAAGCGGGGTCTCTGCTGCTGGTTGGGCCCTTTCTGGACTACTGGTTGACAAATAAAAGAGTTGATGCCTATAACTATACTTTAATATCAGTGGTAAGTGTGTGTGTGTGTTTTTAATCAGAGTCGTTTCAGTTTAGCTGGTATAATGATTGTTTCTCTCTGCTTTAGAAGCTTGTATTTGTTTATGAAACTTCGGTCAGTGTGGCTCTTGTCATTCCTTTTCTCCATGTTTTTACTATGATTTAATGTCTTTGAACATCTTATTGAGGTGGCATTCTTTAAGGCTTCAAGTTGTATTGGTGTTAGTGACTGCATGTCATTCTAAAAATGACCGATATTGTTATTACCATAGGTGGCATATAAATTATGGACCATTAAGAAACCAAACAGACCTTTGGTCGCAAATAGCCAGTGCTTGACTGATTAAAAGAGCAAGTGAGGATCCAATTGGAGTTGCTGGGTGTCCTGGATATGTATTCAGACTGTCTAACATGGAACCTTCAAAATTATGCTCTAGAGGAAACTTATCATTGACAAAAGGAATGTGAGAAATATCTATGAAAGGGACCCAAAATATTGTCCAGTTAGGCACTTGTTTAGGGATTGCACAGTTTTGGGAAGGGCAGCCATTAGGCAGCTTCTGGCAATTAATAACACAGTCTTCTGGTTGTATCATTAGGCGTTGGCTGTTGTTTGGCTTTTATCGATTATTTGATAAACTCACACCCAAAAACCATTGTGCTAAAATGTAGCTATATCAAGATTTTAGCAAAATTTGAACTATGGTTATAGGAATACAACTGTTGACTGGTTAATAGAAGCACTTTCAACGGCAGTTTGAGTAAATTACTGCTAATATGCTAGTCTGAAACTAAATTTCCTATTGCATTTTGTCCTGCCATTCTATAAGCCCTTTTGTTGGATTTTGTTTATGGATAGCTTGGACGCTTTTTGTTATATTTTAAAACTGACCTAGTTCTGGTTTGAATCTGCTTCTGTTAAAACTGTATTTATTTACTCAAAAACACATCCATATGCTTTTGAAAACCCTCAGAACAAATGGGATTGTTTCAGAATTCTCTGAAACAGTAAATTTAGGAAAAAAAAAAAAAAAAGTATTTATGCTGATTTTTTCATAAGTTTGGGTGATTTTCTTTTTCCCACTCAAAGTCATATCCATATGCTTTGGAAAAACCCCCTGAATAAGAGGGATTCTTTTAGAACTCTACGAAAAACAGTAAATCTAATGAGTTTCCATGTCATCAAGCGGCAGGCCCCATGTCAATAGACACCTAGGACTTTCATGTTGCCAGGGTCAACTAATCTGAATCAGGCTCTCTAATAGTAGCTAGTCTTGAACTTCCGTATACAAGTATGACCATCTACTTTCGTCATCTAGTTTTCTTTTGCTGTTCATTTAAACTGTTTTTGCTTTAACTTGTGAAACTGATTTTTGTTTGTCATTGAAGTTTAGCTTTTCTATCTGCAACTGTTTAATAAATTGTGCTTGCTTTATGTTGTTTTCCCAGTATATCAATTTTTGTCTATTTGTACTTTATTTTAGGCAACCATATAGTCTAAAGCAATTGCACCTTCCTTTTTGTCAAGATTTCTAGAGTTTTGTATGAAAGTCCAAATCTTTTCGAATCCATAAAATATCTGCACATTGTGGAAGACTTTTATCAAACCAGTTTTCCTTTCATTTTTGGTCAAGTCATACAGTATGTGTAATGTTGTTGTCATTGTACTTCTCTTAATATTATTTGTCAATTTCATCAGAACTGTTCCAATCTCATTATCGCATCATATTATTTATTGGATCCTGAAATGTTTTTGGTATATCTATTATGGAAGACATACCATCCATATAGGCTAGTGCTGTACTAAATGTAGACAGAAAATGACCCAATTTAGTGAACTGAAATTGCTGTCTGCCAAGTTATCTATGGTGTTTATGTAAGGGTCTCAGCGAAGCTTCAAGATTTTGATATATGCAGAAGGTTTTTTTTGTTGCCTGCCTCTTCATGTCTCATCTAGTGCTCAATTGACATGGTAACTGCCTTTGAGGGTGTGATACAATTATCGCTCATAATGCTGTCAGTGTTCGGTATAGGAAATTGTAAAGAGAGGCATTCTACTTCTCCAATCCTGGAATTATTAATTAATATTTCAGATGTGTTTCCTGTTATGGTGTGGTTTTGCAACTAATGCACATGCACATGCTTTGAGCCATAAGGTCATACAGTACGGCAGTCTTGTGAGTATGTTCTCACAATACTAGGACAGGTGTTGTTTAACAAATTTCCATGGTTTATTTTCCTCCTTTAATAGGGCATTAGCTTTTTGAGGTAATATAACATGTATTTATGTTCTTCTGTGACCATGGATTTTGCTCAGGTATTTGATATGTACAATCAGCTAGTGAGCCTTTGATGTAAATATTTGCATATTAATGTATTCTTATTGCCTACATGGATACCTAGTTTGTTCCTTAACAGTGAGATTGTTCCCCATGGTAATGTTTGTTATATGTGCTATGATGTGAAATAAAAATGGACCACTTTCTTTATCCATATGAATACGGATGTATATTGTCATTTATCTTGCAGTGCGTTTTGGCTTCTGTAAATGACATGGACTCTTCTTTCTTGTCTGCAGTTCTTCATAATATTGTCCTGTAGCATTGCTGTTGGGACCAATCTCAGCCAATTCATCTGCATAGGCAGGTTCACTGCTGTGTCATTCCAAGTCCTCGGCCATATGAAGACCATTCTCGTCCTTATATTAGGATTCATTTTCTTCGGAAAAGAGGGTCTCAATCTTCATGTGATTCTGGGTATGGTCATTGCAGTATTGGGGATGATGTGGTATGGCAATGCCTCATCGAAGCCTGGCGGGAAGGAGCGTCGCAGCTTCTCAATGCCTAGCAACAAATCTCCAAAAAATGCAGAGTCCACAGATTTGGATGAGAAGGTCTAAAGTCGATTAAAGATCGGAAAGTTATATAAACAGACAGCCAAATTGAGCTTCTTACTCAACTAATTCCAGGAATTTCTTATACCTAGAAGGTCAGAATCCTCAAATGATTATTACCTCTTTTTTCTTTCTTTTTAATTTATACTTGTTCATTTTTGTGTTCTAGAATTTATTCAAGGGAAAAGATGCTGTTGAGTGGGAGCAAGTTCCCTGTAAAAGTTTCATTATTCCACAAATAATATTTTTTTTAATAGTAATTTATTTCCTTACTCAATAAAATACCTTCTCCATGTCATTCGTATTCTAATACAGATAACATGATACACTTGTCTTGCGTAAGACTTTTACGTTCCAGAGACATATATGATGAAACCTAACTGTGGGTCTCTGAAGTATCGGTATTAGGACTCTCTGAATAAATTTTAGTATCAGAAGTTAAAAGCAGGCTTAGTAAATGCTGATATATTGTTAGGTAAGCCTTAGGGAATCCTGAATAATTGAGGTTATAAAGAAGTATGCTCCTTGCTTCTGCTTCTGCTATTCATAGTGGTCCTTATACAGTTAGATCTGCCTACTAACTCCTATTATTGCTTTAATAGCGGGTTATTTACACTTTCGTTTTTAAGGTTTGGAGTGTATTGCATTTAGCTCTCGGAATATAAGATATGGACAGTTTACCAGTCAAGCAATTGCCGTAAGTTATCTTAATACCCTTATTGTCTTATTCACGATTATGAAAAGTTAGTCTATTTTATGTTTGGATATTAACGATTATAAATTGAATTTTTTTTCTTTTCATATATTTTATCCATTCCTAATTACATGTGAATAAGACAATAGAGGTATTATATTATAAAAAAAAAAAGTCTCTATTAGAGATTAGGATGACTGTCGACAATTGCTTGATTGGACTAAATTGTTCAAATCTTATAGTACTTGAGCTTAGTGCAATATATTCCAAAACTTAAAGGATGAAAGTGTAAAAAACCCCTTTAATAAAACCTGATTTTGAGACATTGGGAGTGATGTATTCATGCTAGAATCTCTTCACTTGGCTGTTAATTCAAAGTCATTAATGGCGTGTTTGGTTGCTGCTGCACACGTGCATGTGCTTGGTGGGGAAGAGGGCTTTAAATACAGCTTCTGCTGTTGCTTAATTTCAGGTTTGATTAGTAAGTGCTGCTTATCAGGCCATGGCCTGGAAGCAACTTCTGGGAAAGATTAATTATTAGTTAGTGGTGGCCTTTATTTCTGACTGATGATTGCTGGTGTTTTCAGACTGAAAAGGTGAGAACTATGGTGATCACTGATCATGGTGGAACTTCTACTGATAAATAGTATTGTCATTAAATCACCCAAATGCTCCAATTTAATTCTCTCCTAAGGGGGTTTGGTAGCGTCGATAATAACTGTTAAAGAGTACCTATGAGGGATTNTTGGCTGTTAATTCAAAGTCATTAATGGCGTGTTTGGTTGCTGCTGCACACGTGCATGTGCTTGGTGGGGGAGAGGGCTTTAAATACAGCTTCTGCTTCTGCTTAATTTCAGGTTTGAGTAGTAACTGCTGCTTATCAGGCCATGGCCTGGAAGCAACTTCTGGGAAAGATTAATTATTAATTAGTGGTGGTCTTTATTTCTGACTGATGATTGCTTGTGTTTTCAGACTGAAAAGGTGAGAATTATGGTGATCACTGATCAGGGTGGAACTTCTACTGATAAATAGTATTGTCATTAAGTCACCCAAATGCTCCAATTTAATTCTCTCCTATGGGGGTTTGGTAGCGTCGATAATAACTGTTAAAGAGTACCTATGAGGGATTAGTTGAGCGGTTACACCTGTGGTTTGCTTCCACGTAGTTTAGGGTTTCAGTTCTCTCATGTGCATTTACATGGGCAAAGGTTGTTTCTTGTTTCCTAAAGATTGTAGGGTTCGACAGATGCTATAGTTCCAAACATGGCTTTACAAAATGAGGTCATGGAATTTCCCTTAAATCTAAAATTAATCAATCCAACAATAGTTAACATTACAGGATAAGAACCTTCAACTTAAGATTTTAGAGACTTTTTTATTGAGAAAATGTCAATAAAATTATTACTATTTTTTTATATGAATAATTCTTTCATAATATACGCTTACATACTGCTTCTTGTATGCTTTTCTTGAAGTTAAAGCATGCAACAGCTTTAAGTCTCCCTTTTATCCAAATGTGAAACGTGAATAAAGTAAAATTGTGCATTCACTTTAACATCTTTTTCTTGAGTCATTTTGCAGTATACTCTGCAGTAATGACGTGAAATTTCACAGTTGTAAATTCCAAAACTGTAACATTCAGTGTCATAATAGTAATACCATATAAAGCCCGATTAACTAATGTGACGTTTCAATGCAACATGACTTTAAAGGTGCATTTGGTTCGAGAAATGTTGAATTATTGGACATGTTATATGAATGAAAAGTTAGATTATCAGAATCTTATATTACTTAATAACCAAATGTGATAATCAAATAATATAAAATGACATAATTTTAGCAATCTCATATAACCCATAACCAAACGCCCTCTAAAAAATCTTACAAATATTATGGTGATGATATATCAATGATCACATCAGGTGAGATTTCAATTTTGTATGTGTAAGTATTATTTTTAATAATAATTACAAATGTTAATATACAAAAAAAATATGATTAAGTATACATTAAAAAAAATCTTGAATAGGGCATACAATCATTTCAACTATCAATTTGTTCAATAAAATTCATTGTATATATATTTATTTTAATATCAAGAGATTAGCAAAAGCAAGACAAACATTTATGTATTTGATACGAAGTTAGATTTTATTCTAATGTTCTTGTATTATATTAGATTAACATACAAATAATATGATACATATGTGTTATCCTAAAGACTTTTTTTTTTTTTAATAGTGAATTTAACTTCAAATATGTTAAATCAACTCCATATTATAATATCAAAACCAACCCATATCCTTTTCTCAATTTATTTTGTGGGGGCAAAAACCCATAGAACAAAGTAGTTATTCACTATTTAATCATAAACAATCCTTGTTTTTTCACATGTTAAGGTAAGGCTCTCAAACTCAAACCGTTGGTGTTCGAGTTCTTGATAGAGATCTCTTAATCACCACCCATTTCTTAGTTCATTGAATTAATTTGGATTCTTTTCTGATCTAAATTTATTTAAAAAATATCTCGTAAACGACACGTAACATTTTTTTATTACATTCCTCTATTAATTATCGATCAGTATCTTGTTTGTTAATCAAATAACAATTCATATGAAGTGATATTGTGATCCTTTTACGAATTATGGAGATAAATTTCGATTATTTCCTCATTTAAATTTACTCGAGTTTTAAGAATCTTGTAATACTCGTGTATTTACTTTTTTCTTATATGTAGTCAAGATTTGTTCTTCCGTTATATTCCTCTTTGAATTATCTATTGTTATCTTGTTTACTAATTACTCATGTAAAAGTTCATATAAAAAAATATCATGCACAATCCCTTCTACAAATCATAGAGACATCGAGAATAAAGAAAAGATACAAGTTGTAACAAGAAATTGTTTGCTTGTATTTGTCACTCTTTTGGGTTTGTTTTTAAGTTCTTAAATCCCTAAAGAAATCCAATTTTTCATAGTAATATTAGGTGATATATCCTAATCAAGAACTATAGAGGATTTGAACGAGTCAATTTTCGGGTCATATCCAATACATTTCTTGGAGAATTTTTTTCACTCTATACTAATTTGACATTTTATTCCTAGTCTATTCTATCTCTTCTTTGTCTCAAATGCCATATTGAATTATTATGATAAAATGGACCTGTTTTCAATACTCTTACTGTTTTCAGATTGCTTTACCCAAAAAAGTAATTCAATCTTTTAGGGTTTTACAAAAATAGCTATGATTGAGGTGTTTCTGAAATTCTCAGTTGTGATCATATTAAATTTTTTAGCGTGTAAATTAAAGGTAAATCGACTAGTTATTATGATGATGGTGGTTATAACGATCATCTTAATTGCTCTATGTCATATATTCATTTAGTTATATATTTTTACTCCATTAACATGAATATAGATCGTAACACACCGAATTGTAACACTATTCATCCACACCAATTTGGTGTGATACTATTCATCCACCATAAAACATATTTTTATTTTTTACGACATTTTATATTAGATGTAATTTTTTTATATTAAATGTAAATGTTTATTTGATTTTATAAATGCTTAATTTGATTAAATTAGTATAATTTTCAAAGTTATTATTAATTAATAAAATATATTATTCCTAATATTTAATTAATATATACAAAACTAATTACTAAAATAAATTAATTATTAAGAATTAATAGAAAGAAAAAGAAAGAGAATATTCCTTTTAGTATAATAGGTTGGAAGTGCAATAGTAAAATAGTGTAAAAGTTACACTAATTTGATATTCAGCTTGTTGTGATAAGCTGAATATAATTTGGACTGCTGAGGAAGATGCAAAGATACTTGCATATGTGTCAAAACATGGAACTCGAAACTGGACATCTGTTCCCAATAGAGCAGGTTGATTAATTTGGAGGTTCTGTAATGTTGAAATTAGTTCATGGTTTTGCACCATTTTTGGTTTTTTTTTTCCTGTCAACTTCAATGCCATGAATGAGCGTGTTCTCCAGGACTTAGCAGATGCGGAAAGAGTTGCAGACTTAGGTGGACTAATTATCTCAGGCCAGATCTTAAAAAAAAAAAAACTTCACACCCCAAGAAGAGGAGTTGATCGTTAGGCTTCATGCAGCCATCAGTAGCAGGTCAGTCGGTTCATGTTCCCTCCCCACTCACCACTTCAATGTTTAACTGTTCTTTTCTTTTGATTTCTATTGACCATTTGATTTGTTTTTAATTTTACCCTGCCAATTAAGAATCTCTCAGTTTAGACATTTGTTTACCAAACATTCTGACGACTAGGGTGGTCCAGGTGGTCGGTCATAGCACCACAACTTCCGGGGAGAACTGACAATGATGTGAAGAATTACTGGAACACGAAGGTCAGAAACAAGCTCTCTCAAATGGGGATAGATCCTGTTACGCATAAACCTTTCCCTCAAATCCTGGCTGATTATGGAAACATTGGTGGACTCGCAAAATCTGGAAACCGAATTGGGTCTCTCAATAGAGATATGAAAAATGCATTCATGTCAAAATCTGAACAATATCAAACACCACAACCTCAGGCGTTTTCAAGCATTAACACTAGTCATTTGATGACAACAAT